GTAGGGTTGGTAGAAGTGAGGCCAGAGCTTGCTCATGCAGTAGGGTTGGTAGAAGTGAGGCCAGAGCTTGCTCATGCAGTAGGGTTGGTAGAAGTGAGGCCAGAGCTTGCTCATGCAGTTCAGATGAACATCATCATCATCATCATCATCATCATCATCATCGTCATCATCATTATTATTATCTGTATAATTTCATGAGGGATGCTAAACAGGAAAAAAAAGGAACAACTATAAGCACAGAAAGCCCTGCCCAGGGGCCAAGTTCCACGCGTTGAATCAGTACACTGAACATGAGATACCGGGGCCATTACCCGGCTTCGTCTTTAGAACAATGTAACCACGCAAGAAGAACTCAGGCGTACCCTGCCCCCTGTCTACTCTGTTCATTAAAGAAAAACATTCCTGCAAAAAAAGTGGTAGAATTTTGTCTCACCCTGCTGTTTTGCGAATGCCAGAAAAAAAACTATGAAAGCTGGTTCTCATAGTTTTGTCTGCTCCCGTATGCCCCAGCCGGGATAGTGGCTTCCAACAGAAAACTTAGAAGTTTCCATTGCACTTCTAGCTTCCCCTGTCCTTCGGCGGTCCTGGCTGCTTCCCTCGTTCCACCATTTGAACTTCAATTTATGTCCCTCGACTTCTGCCATCTTTCCTCCGCGCGGTATGTTCCGGTGGGAGATTCTTAATTTTCGTTTGCTTTGTCAGGAGTGTCCTTCAGTCTCTTCCGCACACTATACCATTCTGCTGCGCATTCCATCTCCAACATCCATCGTGGCCTCTTCCACCTCTCTCTTAGCGATTCCTTTCCGTTCAATAGTTCCCTGACACCTACTCGTCCAGATCACTTATAGGTTGTATCGTGTTAATTTGTCGGAAAACAATCTCGCTCATACTTTGTATTGTGTTAATTTCTTGGAAAAGAATCTTTCTCAAAAGACAACGAGTCTTGGGGAGGTGGAACCCAGTTAGACGAGAGGCGGGTCATTCGGCATCGGTTTGCTGGAAGCTGTTTGCCAGAGTTGCCTTGTTCCCTTCCCCAGTCTCCTGGCCTTTGGACAGTCTAAAAGGCGATGCTCCAGGTTTTCTGTTTTGCCTTCCGAGCAATGTCACAAAACTCCCTTAATCGGCTTCTTCGCTCTCCACTTCTTCACTTGTTCAGCCATTCCAACATTGAATGGCAGTGTCGGGTGGATGATCAATCACTGCATACTCCATAGTCTTCCCAGCCCGATCGAGAAGATTTGAAACCGGTTAATATCTTGAATTCTTTCTGGGTTTGTTTCCCCGTGCTCCTCTCACTTTTGCCCTCGTTCTCATCCTTCGGTTGTGGCCTCTCTTGGTTGAGTAGTCCAAAATGCTGATTCTCTGAGTCACCTTGAAGTGCTCTCTATTCATAGTATTTTGAGCCCTTTTGGCTACGTCCACTTCTACGTCGTCGATGGTGATTGTAGGGCAATACATATTCTTTATATTCTGTCATCCTTGCCTTCCTCAATGTTCCCATTCAATGCTGCTGGGGCTTGAGAAACTTTGGTGACCTAGTTTGTAGTAGCTCACAGACTCTTCTACTATTTTGCAAAAATATCCATCATCATCCATGTATCGCCTGACCCTTTTATTTTTTCCTGAAGGCTAGAGCTAGGCCTATCAGCAGCACTAACACTGGTGGGGGCGTGTTTCAAATAAAAAAAAAAAAAAAAAAAAAAAAAAAAAAAAAGGCCTAGGGTTCGGTCTTGTTACTAAGAAGCCCAATCTTTGAATTCCCGAAATGAGTCATGCTTTAATAACTTGCTCTAATGGGGAGGTGCATAAATTAGGACATTGATTCCACTTTTAAATTTTATGACTTCCTTGAAAATTTTCTTTCCAAAAATGTGGTATCCCTTCTTGTTTGAACTGCAATCTAAAAAGGGGTTGAAAATCTGGATGAGTTTCTGAAATATTTTCATCCGACTATCATTTTATTGTAAGTAGTTTCAATCATTATTAGGTTAATCTAATCTTAATTAGAAGATATTTATTATAGTAGAATAAAAGTTTAAAGAGGACATTTTTGTGAGGATCTGGGTCCTCGGCAGGCCTAAGGGGCCCCTGTTACAGATGTGCCCGCCCTAAGTGAAGGGGGGCCTAACAAATCTCTAGAGGCCCATTGCTGTCAATTTCGTAATTTGGGGTCCAGGCAGTTGTGACGCGCCAGTTGGTTGAGGGCAACAGAGGCCGAGCAGCAAAGATATTCCCCGGCCTTCCAGGCCTTTCCTGAAATGCAGGCCCTGGGCCAGAATCGCAGCTTCATACTCAGACAGTTGGGAGGCCCAACCGAACGAGGCCCAGCAGCTCCAACAGAGGCACAGCCTCCTGGGGCCTAACGGAAGCTTCTGGGCAGAGGCCCAGCCCAGCCAGGCCGCCGGGGCAGGCAGACTCTTTCCATATAGGAAAGAGCTTGCTGCCTGGAGACTCATTCAGGCACTTGCCAGATGATGCGGCAGCGCTGCTGGAGCAATTGCTCGCGGGCTGCTGTGCGCTAAGGGCAAGATGCTGCGCGCTTGCGGTCGTGCAGGAAGCAGGGCGCTGCTGAGGGCAGCACCATAGCCCAGCCTCCATAGCTGGCTGGGGCTTGGACTACAGTGAGGTGCAGAGGTGGTCTTCGGGTGTACAGAGGGAAGACGTGGGTGTAAGTCGAGGGAGAGAGAGAAGGATGATGATGATGATGATGATGTGAGGGCACATACCTGGTATTGGCGATGGCCTGCATTGTGGGCTGCTGACTTCAACAGTTGCATTGTCAATCAGTAGGCAGACAGTAGCTGTGTAGGAAGTAGGCTGGGCGCGGAGCGCCAAGTAGGGAGAAGGGCCTGGACACTTATGTTGGTGGTGGCGAGAGCAAGATCTCGTCGACATTTGGTTTTCAGTGTTACTATTCTCCAATGGGGTTATGTTGGTGCAATGCTGCTTTCTGGACACTGTGATACTCTCTGGCTTTCAATGTGATTGTGCAATCTGGATATTGTCATCTCGCTATTGCTCATTTTCCTTGCAATTTGGTATCAGAGCTGGTTCGAACTGCGCTTCATTGGTTCTTCGCAATAGCTGTTCAGTGCTTCGCATGAGGTGTGGGGCAGTGATAAGGCTTGGGCGTTGAATGATTGACGGCCCAGGGTCGTGTGGGCGCACCAGGAATCTATGTGGTGACATTAGGGGTGTGCGCTGGATGATGAGAGCTCGCTGATGTGGCATTTAAGCCGAGGTGGAACTACACTCTGCTGGTTGTTGTGTCGAGGCAAAGACCGGTCATCATAAATGCATGTCAGGTTGCCGGTGAGAAATCTGTGGTTGGGGGCAGCATTATGAGGTGCGTTGCTCTCTTCCTTCTTCATTACTTCTTACCGTGAGGAAGTGAGTTCTGTCTTGAGAGTCCTCTCAATGTGAGGTGTTGCGAGCGCTCAACCTTGAGAGTCGACATTCTTCCTGGGAAGCAAGCTGGTGGAAGACGGGCGAAGCCTCTGAAGGGCCCTGGACGAAGCACTCGGGTGACGGTCAGCATGCCAACCCGCTAGTACACGCAAGCTTCGTCGCAAGTCCTGGGTTCTGCTGCTGCGCAATAGAGGTCATGCAGGGCATGCCAGCCCTTTGAGAGACGCTCACCCGACCGTCTATAAATATTTTTGGCAGGTTCCGGTGTTGAACCTTGACTGTGATCGTCATCCTGTCTGCGACGTTAAATAGTTACTGAGGACTTTGAGGACTGTCCTTGAACTGCCTCTTGATCAGCCAGATCAAACCGAAAGTAAGGCTCGTTGCATGCGAGGGTAAACAACGTGCAGGGGCTGGCAGGTTCAGCATAGACTTAGGGCACAGGGGTGGGCCGGATTGCACACCTTCAGACACACCGCTCAACCAGATGCTCAGGGCGTCGACACAAAGTGACCACTCAAGAAGGATACAGGGAGAGGGGGGATTCCGGTAACTGTTCGCAGATAAATTAATTAGAAAATATTTCATCCAGCATGCATCTCTGCAGGTGACGGTATTTTATTTTTGATTATTTAGTTGTTACGGGCTTGACTGACAACTTAGTTAGTATTCTTTGCTGCATGCATTCTGTTCCAGAGTAATCTAAAAATAAAATTAGTATTACCTGTAGGATCTGACACTAGTTGTTGTTTACCACTTGACTACTCTCCAGGCTGACCGAAACTAGTAGAAAATCATACTGGGTTGGGTGTCATGCTGAGGTAGGATTCAATGTGGATTC